ATTTTTTCTTATTTATGATTTCTCTATTTTATTGTTGAGAGAATTTTGTTCATTATCTCTAAAGTTTTATCAATTTCCTTTCATTTTACTATTCTTTTGATTCCCGCATTCTCTAGCAAGGTTGATTGCTCTTTAGTTCTCTTCTCTTTGATCAATTTTTGTTCATCTTTCATAACCGAAATTGATATATGAAATAGATGTTTAATCTTGTTTTCTCTTCAATCCTTTACTTTTTATAGCCCTAAAATTCATTTGATTAAGTATAAAGTTTAAAAGGTTTTCATTCTTCAGTAACTAAATTTTAGAGGCTATTTGGAAGATATATTGACTCTCTTTCAATGTGAAGATTCTCTTAAATAAAACTTTAATCACATTTTTTTAGCCAAAAAAAGCTTTATTAATTCCTTAGAAGATGCAAGTATAAAGTGCTATGAATACTTTGTTTTCATGTTGAAAGGATGGAGTCTCTGTATTAGCTTCATTAAAAAATTCTTCTTAAAAATGTTGTCTAAGTGGAGTTTTTCTATGCAATTTTTTTTTTTTAAATCAATACCGTGTGATTACTCCTAAAAAAATTCTTATATGCTTGATGCTTTAAATTTCAATATTTTTTTTATAATTTAATTATTGTTATTTTTATTTAATTTACAGGTGTTCTCCATATGCTCAAAAATTGTTTCAGGACATCAATATTTAACAAATAATAACTAATATTGATAACAATAATTTGTTTGCTATGCAAGAAAAGAATGAGCATGATGAACAAGAGATTACAAGTTCTACCACCTCTCATGATATGGTGGAAGCTAAAGAATGTGAAGAAATGTTAGGTGAAGATGACAGCCTCATGAGAAGAAAACAAGATAAAATGCAATGAAATTTTTGGTTATAAAATGTAAAGAACTAAAGAGAAAATAAGATTAAATATGTATTTAATATATAAATTGCAACTATGAAAGATGAACAAAAATTGATCAAAGAGAACCAAAGAGCAATCGAACTTGTGGGAGATCACAAGAATCAAAGGAAGAATAAGATGAAAAGAAATCGATGAAATTTTAGAGGCAATGAACAAAATGCTCTCAACCATGAAAGAGAGAAATCATAAATGGAAAGAAATCACACATGAAGAAAGACAAATCATAGGATTATGTTCAATTGAAGGGATTCTATCTGGAAAAGAAAGGTAAAGTGTCAAACGAAGATGATGGAGGAAACAAAGGGCTTTATCTTAATACAGGGTCATTTTAATAATCAATTTTGCCTAAAAATTGAGAAATTGAGAAGACCAACTACAAACTATTTTATCATATTATAAATTATATAAAATTATAAAATAATACATTTAAAAAATAAAAGAATCTAACCGTGCGATGAAATATGAGGTTGAATTTGTTATTTTATTTCGTTTTATTATAATAATATACAAATTTAGTTAGAATAAATGAGATTAAAAATAGTCAATATATGATAAAGATTTTAACAAAACTAAGTACATTGCATTTTTTTGAATAAATTATAATTATTTACATATTAATTGAGAGAATGAAAAAAAAAATTTCGTAAAATTCAAACACATAATTTAAAAGAGAAAAATGACCCTAATCCAAAAATTTCAATGTCACCGAGTCCGAACGACTATTCAAGTACATTGATTTTTAATTTAGATGGTGAGCACAAGCGGTCAGCTTCTTCAACACGTGTCTACAAAGGTTGTTGAGTTGATCAATTTAACCATTTGCTTTTTTTGGTCGAGAAACAATTTTATTATTTCT